GTTCCCCACCGTACGTCTCGCTGGATCCAGCACAAAGCGGTTGTTGAGTCAGTCCAGAAGAATGTTCTTAAATTTTGGCATGTTCAAATCTGAAAAGACCATACGTCCCAAGCGTGCTCCGATTAAAGCAGGATAATAATTCCAAACGAGGAATGGATATACTCTTTAAAGGCTTAACTCTAGTGCGTGCTTGCACAAAACTTAAATAAACCTTATTTTCGGTCTTTCACTCTTAAGAAAATACAGGTAGCATAGGCATGCTTGCTGGCATCGCTGAAAAACGTGAAGACTTACATCTTCGTTAACCGATCTGTCAATATTAAGCCATCTAGAAATTTTGACATCAGACAGCAGTTTCATTTCCTTTACCCATTGTCATGGACTTCTTTTCTAAATGTTTCTGGCAATTTTTGATCCCAATTTAATCGTAATTTCCAACACTCTTGCAATATCACCTTTGGGAACAGGGTAACGGGGAAGGGGAGAAAGGAAGCCTACTGAGTCAAATAACTTATGTGCGCAAGAAAGGAGTGTTCGTTTACTCGCGACAATCTCTTTCTTTAGTAACTCAATTTTACAGGAAAGAGTATCATCCTTCAAATTCCAGTTTAACCCTAAAACAAAAACGGATGTATCTAATTTAGAGTTGGGAATTATTTCAGTTTCACAATTCGACTGCCATCCTTTAAGATTAAACTTTCCCAGTGACAATAGCATTCTCGATTCTAGTACAAAGCTATTCAATTCTTCAATATTCTTAAAACACTAGTCAGGCAATTATCAACATAGAAGGACTCCTTCAAAATATGTTGGCTGTAACTGCAAACTGATCTGGGGCACGATTTAAATGAATAGTTCAACGTAGCGGCTAACAAAAACGGACTACAGTTAAGCCCAAAAACCACGCGACAATGTTCTATAAATTTTTAGTATTCTCTCCTTTTTGCACCTTTCCAAAAGAAACGCAAATAATCTATCTATCCTTCTCTCTTATACCAATATCTGCAAGAAAGCTTTCTCAATGTCTGAAATTACTGCAACAGGATATTTCCGAAAACGATTCAACAATGTTGGAATTATTTCTATTAGGTTGGGACCTTTCTCAAGACAATCATTTAAGGAAAGTTTCCTTTGGCGTGTGCCGAAGCATCAAAAACTGGCCTTACTCGCATAGTTTCGCTAGATTCTTTAAAAAACCGGCCTATGAGGCAAATAGTGCTCTCTATCTACTTCGCCTTCATTACCTCTTCAATAATTCGTTCCTTCAACCAAGTATCAAATACTTCCTAATAAACTTTAATTTGATTCGAATCTAATAATTTCCTTCGCGTATTAGTCAGGCGTTTTTCTGCCAACGTTTTATTATTAGACAAGCGAGAGGGGTCCAATACCCAAGGTAATGCAGTTTCATATCTCCCGTCTGAATCCAAATTCAAATTTTCCTCAAAATATTGCATGGTCTCCTCATGAATTTCAGCTTTCGTTTTAGACTCAACTGGGTCATTTATACCAATAACGTCTAACTTCCACAAGTTTTCTGCTGATCTTTCGTTTAGCAATAAAGAAACACATGCAAGAGAATCATTTATACCCGAAGATTCCTTCGCTGGAATTTTACCCATTAAAATCCATCCCAAACTTGTTTCCATCGCGACCGGACCACTTTGTAAACATTTAATATTTCCGCTGAATAAATATCAGAACCTATCAACAATTTAATGTCACTTTCGTTTTCGAGAGCATTACCCTCTACATCTGACACTTGAATATTTAATTTACGAAGTTCTTTCAACCAAGGACCTTTAGGTATTTTCTTAACATCAGAACAGATAACAGATTCACTTAAACAATGCACACTACATACATATTATTATCAAGGCTACTCAAATTAACTATATATTTAGAATGCAATTTTCTCTTTGTTTCTACACCTCCGAATAATTTATGAACTAATTTCACTTCACCAACACTGTTACATTTCAAAGAATCTGTAATATCTTTCGTTAAATAACTTCTCTCGCAAACCCGTATCTATAATCCCTCTGACTATCCTTTCCCTGTTGCCATTTTTTACTCTACGATTAATGTTTGTAGTAACACATCGGAGCTCGCGGATCTGCTAGCCAAAACATTGACCTCGTTTTTCGCCACAGGCTCTACTGTTTAGTCTCTTTCAATTGAGAAGGAACTTGTTGACACATTACTGCCAAATGCCTTTTCTGGCAAATTAAACACTTAACCTTGGACTTACAGTACGAGAAATATGGTTTTTCTTCAAGCATAATAGACATAAACCCTTCTTAAATATTAAATCTTTTTTATCCTGATATGTAAGCGTACTAGCTTTAAAACATTTTTCTGTTAAATGGTGTTTATCACAAAAAAAACACGATTTCTCAACTTTCTTAATAGGAGCATTTTCTTTAAATTTGTCTCCTGTATACAAATCATTACAAGTAGGAATATTAGACTCATCATTAATGTAACTTTTAGATTTTCTACTTTTATCAAAAGAAAAACGCGCTAATTTAATTCTCTCTTCAGATATCACTTCAATTTTCAAAAACAGAAGAATAGATTTCAAGATCGCTCTTACCTTGTTGTGACGAGCTCTCCCGTTCCCTCTCCCACACGCGTAAGATGTCACGGGGATGCAGGCAAGATTCAACTAGCATGGGAAAAAAAATAACACTAGCGTATTTATCTTCAGTCACACCGAGAGATTCCAGAGCACGCAGTTTTGTTTCTAAACTGTCGTACAACGATGATAGCGCAAAGTCCTTTTTTGGTTGCATTATTATTTATCAACACAAGATTCAAATAAATCCCGAACGTACACTTGTATAAGAATATCTTCACGTCCAAAACGGATTCTTTAAATGTTCGATGACTTTCGGATAATAATTTTCTTTAGTTGTCGGGAAACTCTGCACTATTTCCCGTGCTTTCGATTTGGCAGCAGTAGCCTGGATCAGATATACGAATTTCAAATGATCATCTAGCACTGGATCTTCGTGTATCTTACTAAAAGGTATTCCAGAAATTCATACCATTGTCGTGGATCACCTGTAAATTCAATCAAATTTATTTTCGGAAGCTTCAAATTCGTTGCCGTTGTTCTTGAATCAACAGTTCTGGTTTCATTTACCGATGCATGAGTCAGCAAATTTTTCTCTATTTCCACAGTGATTTGCTTCACTTTCATCCTGGCTGCTATTAATTTCTCCTTGTAAGTCTCACATGACTCAAATTCTTTAGTATATTCTTCTTGCGAGACTTCTTTCGATTTTGATAGGAGATCCAATATTTCTTCATCCAACTGTTGTAGTCGAATTCCTTTATCTTCCAGGATTTCCAGGGACGATAATAGAACATCACTGTTCAATTCTGACTCATTCAAATGTCCATGTAGGCTATTATATGCTTTCGTGAAGGTTGCACGCAGTGGTATTCTTCTTACTTTCAAGGCTTCCATTTCTGCTGTTAAACCATCAAAAGTGTCCTTTACCTAACTAATGGGTCCTGTCACGGACGCCACTTTTTATTGTGGTGATCCACGGTTTGAAAATGGTTTCAGAATCAGAAGAGATTCGTGCACTAACCTAGTGCTTCGCATTAGAGAGTAAAGAACATCTATGATATAAAAATATACTTTTATTTACACAGCGAAAACGCGCAGCAACATTATTAACGAAAGCTCATTCTCCTAATAACATAACTTCTTTTTACACTCCACTTGCGCATGCGCATTGACAATTACCAAAGGAGCTTGGCAGATACTGCCATCTGTTGGATAAACTATTCGCTACAGTTACTACAAATTGTATTAGCAGTTCTTCAACTTTATCTCAAAGGCTGCACATTCTCTCCGCTGAAAGAAAAGATAGCTGTTTGGAATTTCGTAAGAATTTCCATCTTAATGAGTTTATAGTTTAAAATGATATACCGTATCGTTTAAAACCATACCCGTGTTCCGGTATTATGTGTGTCGCTAGAAAAAAATATATCAATACTTGCTTATATATAACGATATCAGTTGTTAATTTAGAAGCACTTCACATAGTCATTTAAGTTCGCCTACAATCCATGAGTTTTGCTAAGTCCTGGTGATATCGTTTGCAAATTATTTCATTTATATTAGAACATTTTCAACATTTTGTAAAATGAATGGTGGTCGTCAATGATTATTACTACTGTGAAACAAATAACAGAGTGTTTTATATTTCATTAACACGCTGTGATATAATTAGACACATATACTTGTATCTGCAACAACACTGAATTTGAGGCACACAATTAATTTTCAGCCATCTAAAGACAAAGACGTGCCTTAAATTTGAAGAAATGCGTAATGTACAGACTTCTTCTTAGTTTGTATAACGTAAGTATGGTATATATGTATGGGAACAATAGTAATATGTGTAACTGATGGACAATTTTGTACATGAGTACTGTAAATGTATTTGATTCTATTTTATAAAACCAAACGTCAAAATGTTTAATAAGTGAATTAGTAAAGCAACCATTTGAGTATGACGTATAATAAGTGAAAATCTCTATCGATTTCGAGAACAAAGCGATACAGGTACCTCTTCGTCAGGAGCAAAGAAGTCTGCAAGACCACTTGCTATTATCAGTCTAAAGATTTCTTTGCTCCTGGCCTGTTTGCCTTCGAAATCGATTGAGATCTTGACCAAATGTACGTTAAACTCAAGGTTGTTGTATTACTAATCTTATGTTAAACTTGGTATGTTTCTCTTCTGTTTTCAATAAATGAATTATTTCCATAAAAAAAGGCATTTTGTCAATTAGAATATCCAAAATATTTCTCTGAGCCTTTTAATTCAACAAAATAATTTTACTGCATTAAATTCAATGAAGTTTATTAATTAAATAGTTAAAAATGGCAGTCAAATATATATCTTTCAAAACTATGTTACCTCGCTACTTCGCAAGAATATCTTAAGAAATATTAAATTTTAAGTATTTGGTATACTAACTTGTGCTTCTTGATATCTGCAATTCCTGCTTTCTGGTATCCTAATCTTTCACTTGGATTATCCCTGCAGAGCCTCTTGATGAGATGCTGAGCGTTCTTGGGTATCGTTCTTGGGAAATCTATCATATCGATACCCTTTAGTATTATGGTGTAAATCTGCATCGGATCAGCAGCTCTGAACGGTGGCCTGGAGGAAAAACTAGAATGAAGCTTGAAAGAAAAAATAGTCTGACGCATTTAAAATTACGTAAACTTATGTAGCCTAAACAGGAAGCACTTCAAAAATAATACAGCAAAAATTACCAATTGAAAAGGTAAAATGTATATAAATATAAATGATTCACAGGTCCATCTGGGTTTGAAGAATATATAGTAAAACCGTTCTCAGGAAAATGGTACATAGTTAAAATAAATCTGATGTGTACACCACATGACTTCCTTGTACGGAATATTAAATTATACGCATTTTTTCCTGCAGTTCATTTAAACTTATTGGATTGAATTAAATCTACTTCGCCGACACCGCATAAACCACAATAGAATAAATGCATTCTTTAAAATTCACTCTAGTATGTGTTTACCATAGCGACACTCTGGCGCTAGATTCACTTAACAGTATTATATTTCTTTCATATTATAACTCATAATGCACAAAATTTATATCATTTAAAGAATAGAATTATCTAATCGTTGCCATATGTCCTATTCAAATACTATAATAAAGCTAGGATGATGTATAAAAGAAATTAAGCAAACAAAACAAAAAAAGAACCAGTTTTTTCACAGACGATTGAGTATTTATCATTCAATTAATTCAGTTCTCACTTCGCGACAAGGCTAAAATACGTAAAAACTCAAAATATCTGTATTAAAAATTACGAAGTAAATCTTAAACACTTATTTCCTGAAAAAAATTCTAGAAAGGATTAAGCATGATTTAATTGGCAATAATAAATGAAGGCGTTATCTTTGTTGTTGCGCAACAAAGCTAGCTAAACGAAGCTAAGTTTCTCTAGATTGGAAACAAATCCACTAGTCTGTTGCTTCAAATGTACACAATCAATAGCCGCCATTAAAAAAAAAAAAAAAAAAAAAAAAAAAAGCCTTAGCGGCACTTAAACAACTTTAAAATTGTTGATAATTCTAAAAATATTGCATACAGATTTACGAAAGGAATAACAACCTTAACCGGAAGATAAAAACAACATAATTCAATTATTTTTAAAGCAAAAAATGTACAATTTACAAACATATAAGAGTAAAGAAACTGAGATCACTGAGCCGGGTAACAGCGTGGATATATATATAAATATATTTATATACGTTTTGTGCGGCCGATCGCATCCAAAATACGAGGTGCACATCTACATGTTATAATAGTCCTATATAGAAAATTTCAACGTTCTGAGGTTACTTGTTTTTGAGTTATGCGAGATACGTACGTACGTACATACGTTCGTACAGACGCCACGAAAAATTTTCTTCAGAATTAATTTTAAAGTAGTTTTATAATTTTTTTGGAGGAAACGAGTCTTTTATTCTGTTCTTACCTACAGATATCACGCAAAAACATTGTTAAATTGCATTCGATAGCGGTCAAAATTGGATATTTTTGTTGAAATATGCTGCCTGAAACTTTTCGCGATTACAATACTTCCTTTTTACTTCGTACAAGGAAGTAAAAACGAATCGCTCCAAATTCATTTCCGTTATAGACTCTGTCAATTAATTGTAGATTTAATCACTAAGCAGTAACCTTAATACATTTTAGTGTTATAGCCTTAGCATATAAAGACAATTTGGCTTTTTCAGGAGAAGAAATGGGAAAAACAGTCGACTATGCCTTCATTAGGATTCAAACCACACATTATCCAATTTGCTAGCTGCATGTAGTTGCAACTCACACAATAAAAGGACGCATGGAAGAATGCAACAATTTCTTACATTCTCCCCACTTAAACGGCGACTAGAGAGAGGCAAAATATATAGTTGACTAAACCCGATTGGTGACAAGTTATCGTCTACCACATTTTATTTCGGGCTGTACTCCAGAAATCATCAAATTTTCTTGTAAGATGTATCCTAAGTTTTTAACAGTTATCTTTAGTTAAAGCTACTTTCCTATCCTTCCTAATTTCAGCTTACAATTTCCTACCAGAACGTGTTTTTAGAATAGCGTTTAATGCAAATAAGTAAAAACGGTACTTAGGTCGAAGTTCCGCTGATTTCGTTAGAGAGCCAGAGTTTCTGACTAGCGCACGTTCGTTTTTTGGCTACGTCTCTCTCTAAGCTATTAGTACGCTCGGCTCTATTTCAGGCTCTTGATAGCTTCGCAAGCTTATTGGATATTGAGGGACCAACTACTTAGAAACCTTGATAGCTTCGGCTATATCTTTTAATTAAGTTTTAGTTAAGTTTGGTTTTTTATTACTTTGAGTTCAAACACAAGTGGAGGCTTTGCTGTATGCTTTGAG